AAAATTCCATGCATAAAAATTAAAATTTTGAATAAAATGCGTGCTCTGACTGGGAGCCAGTGTAATTCCTTTAAAATGGGTGTGATATGTTCCTCCCGTGCTGTTCGCGTTAAAAGACGTGCTGAAATGTTCTGAATTCGCTGTAGTTTCTTTATTCGTTCGTCGGTACAGCCATAGAGTAAAGAGTTGCAGTAGTCTAAACGAGAGGTGATCATAGCATGAATAACTGTTGCCGCGGAAGATTGATCCAGATAGTTTCTAATAGCACCGTAACATTAATTAAAACCAAATTCATCTTATTAAAATAAAGAGGCCAATAATCTGAACTGAAAATGACACCAACATGGGGACAAACAAATTAAAATTAGACAAAAAAAATATCCAAGGGTACTAGTTAAAAACACTGCATTCAATCTTAAATCAAAGCACTCCAATGACAATTTACTTGAAATGTTAATTACAACTTGAATTCTAAATAACATGTCATAAGTGGTTTTATTTAAGTGAAATTGTGTCCTGACAAATCTTTCTTAAATAAAAGCTGACATTAGTTGAAATTAATGTTCTCTAGCTTAAATCAAAGTAAGAGAAGAAATCCATTAATTAAATTAAAAATGATAATACTTGAACCAGTGTGTCTGAACAAATCTATATCTTCAAATCAATGTTAGTTAGCAAACCAACCGATTACTTGAAATCAAAATGACATTATATGAATCAAAGTGTGTCTAAACACTCTAGACTTAGTCCAATTGATGTTTATTAACAAATTTAAAAAAAAATTTGAGTTCTTATGTCTGCCTACGTTCCATGATCACCTCAGTTAAAAACTTGCATTGAAAGAATAAATAAAATGTGTTTTCCAGTTCTGCTTTATTACCTCCGCCAAGGAGTTTATGTTTTCACCCCTGTCTGTTTATCATCAACATAACTCAAAAAGTTATGGACCGATTTTGATGAAATTTTCAGGGTAGGTGGGAAATGTGTTTACTTATCAGTGATTAGTTTTTGGTGGTGATTTGGATAAATAATCAATAATAATAGAAAATCGCTGCCTTGGCGGAGGTCTGCGCTCTCGGAGTTCTTTTCTAGTCTCATTATTAAATCACGCCAGTGAGATTTACACCCCATTTCCATAGATTAGATCGACCTACTTTAGATCGACCTAACTCCCTGGGGGTTCACGCTAAATAGCTGTCAGCCGGGCGGACACGAAAGTTAATTACCCTCTTACAGCTTGTAGTAGGCGGGACGGACATTTAAGTCGGATTATCTGAAAGTAATCTAGTGAGACTCCCCGCGGGGATAGATCGATCTAAAATCTATGGGAATAGAGCCTTAAACTCGCTTTTGACCACATCAAGAAATGTATTGTTTTCAATTTCAAAAAAGTTTCATTTATTGTTTCACAAGAATGGTGAGCACTGAATTTTGAATAGATATTCTATTATGAACATCTACCAGCGTATACTCGGTTGGTTTTNCTCAAAAAGTTATGGACCGATTTTGATGAAATTTTCAGGGTAGGTGGGAAATGTGTTTACTTATCAGTGATTAGTTTTTGGTGGTGATTTGGATAAATAATCAATAATAATAGAAAATCGCTGCCTTGGCGGAGGTCTGCGCTCTCGGAGTTCTTTTCTAGTCTCATTATTAAATCACGCCAGTGAGATTTACACCCCATTTCCATAGATTAGATCGACCTACTTTAGATCGACCTAACTCCCTGGGGGTTCACGCTAAATAGCTGTCAGCCGGGCGGACACGAAAGTTAATTACCCTCTTACAGCTTGTAGTAGGCGGGACGGACATTTAAGTCGGATTATCTGAAAGTAATCTAGTGAGACTCCCCGCGGGGATAGATCGATCTAAAATCTATGGGAATAGAGCCTTAAACTCGCTTTTGACCACATCAAGAAATGTATTGTTTTCAATTTCAAAAAAGTTTCATTTATTGTTTCACAAGAATGGTGAGCACTGAATTTTGAATAGATATTCTATTATGAACATCTACCAGCGTATACTCGGTTGGTTTTGCCCGGCGACATTAAGACTACCACCGTAAAGCATTACATTCATTTCTGCCTACATCTCAAGACACCAGACACCTGTGCATGACTCGACGAGGGTAAAAATAGAACTGATAGCGTCTTTGCCAGTCAGTACGGTTCTTTAACAATTTTAAAGAAAAAATGAGATTTTTAGAACAAGTTAATTTTTCAACAGCAAACGCTCCACTGACAACTGTCTCATATTACGAGCAGAAAAATGACGTTGAAAAATTGTTGTCACCATGACATGGTTGTTGATATAGGAGTAGGCGACTGATAATGGATGGGTCTGGGGCCTTTTCATATTTTTCATTGTTGCAGAGAGTCTTACGCCACACCCAAGGAGAGCAGCGAAAACAAGAGTCAACTTGGATCTGTGTTGTAGGACCCCTGCCTGGCCATTGCAAGCAAGAATGGGGACTCGTTTTATGTTCGTGATATTCTTAATCTTATCTTCGTGACTAATATTAATTATAAACAAGGAAGTTCGTTTTCATTCAACGTTGTACTTAACCTTTTGTTGCGAAGCATATCTTTATTTCGTGACAAATTGTTGGCCTGATTGTTTTGACTGATGCATAAATGTCACGATAAAATAATGTCAGATGATAGATAGTTTTGCATGACTGTGTAATGACATTTCTTTAAAAGAGGTTATCAATTTCATCATAACTAAGCGGAATCTGAGGAGATATTTTGGATCTGATACAATGTACCTGATGTACTGCGAAAATAATGACATATTTATAATCTTATCTCTTCAAAATAGTTATGAATATTTTCACGAGTTCAGATTTTTCAAAACTGGGAAGAATTATTTAAGTCAGTTGACGCACGGTCATTTCACAAGACACGATAGAGGGTGGAGGAGTGGAGCAAGGGTATTGTCTGCACATACACACACACACACACACGCACTCACACACACGCACACACACACTGGCCTTGCCTAATATGATAATGCTAAAACACTGAGCAACGCTTTCGCGTTTATATTTTAAGTAGTAGCTACTGTAAATGTAAATT